AGTAGTCTCGTAACTGGAATTACTGTCTTTTAATATTATTTTCTTACTGGTTGGACCCAAATCCATATACTTGCCAGCTAGACCCAAAATAGAAAAACAAAATCTTGTCACCCACATGCTCCCGTCAATTGCACTCTCTCCTGAAGCAGGTGGGGTGCTCATTCTTCCTGTTCTGTAATGCATAGAGGTGATCTCTCCTGACACATTATCTCACCATAGCCACTGAAGTATCTTTGCCATCCCCAGTCTAATTGGTTCTATGATGTGATTCAGTCTTGTTATTGACGGGGAACTTATTTCATCTCTCTGGCTGTCTTTTTTCAACCTTATTTTCACATCAATTCTATATTTTCTTCTCATCTATTTTATTATTCAAGGTATTGTGCAGCTTCAAGTGTTAGCTAAAGTCGTATTCATATCTGGGCAAAGGAGCCTGAAGGGAGGAGCTGGGTACCCCTTCTGAAACAGCTGTTCCTAGAAAATGAGGGATTCTGCCCTACTCAAACTGTGAAGCTGAACCATGACTGGTATCACGGAGTTACTCAAATATCTCCATGCCAATGACTTTTCCCACTATTCCACACTCAGCACGTTGAAAGGTGGGAAACTCCTTTTCAGAAGCCTTATCTTCTGGAATGCTTCAGATGTATTAGACACAGAGCCATAGCCATGGAGAATTTTCTTTCAACCACATTATTCTGTTATTGCTTTAATTGGTTAATTCGTTGGAATTGAGCAATTACAGACAACACTACTTTTGTGACACAATGCCAGCTTGAACTGGAACTGGAAAATGGCTAATCCCTTGGTCCTCTGCAGCACGATGTATGTAAAATGAACTGGGTTGCAGATGTGTGATTCTTTTGTAGAAGCTAAACATGTACTCTGTGAATTTCCGCCCACAAAAATTGTCTAATTTAGGATTTGAAGTCTTACTGTTTTTCCAGTGACCCAAAAGGCAGTGATAAAAGTGAAGTAATTAAAAGAAATAAACAACTTAGAAAAAGCTGGTGTGTAGAGGAGCCTGTGTTAGAACTGGCTTAAGGAAATCTGGAATAGAGATTTTAGAAATAAAAATGAAGACACACTTCGAATTAAGAAAAGTAAAAAACAAACTGATGAAAAGATTAAACACATTCCAAGCTGAGTAGAAAGTGCTGACAAAAATGGAGTGTAAGATGAAAGTTTTGAAAACTTTTGTGGCCTGTATCTTAAAATAGTATTCATATTTAAATGTTTCATATTTTTGGGAGTGTATTTTTAAATGATTTTAGAAGGTTATAAAAAGTGAATGTGCCTTATATTAACTTTGTATCCACTTCAGAAACATAAATAACATTGTGTAGTACTTTTTACATCTAGCCTTTTATCCCTCTTTCTGCTTTAAACTCAATTTCTAAGTCTTTCAATTTAAAGTATTTAGATTTATTCTAATCCCAGAAAAACCACAGTGATTCATTTGCTATGTGTTTGTAAAACTGCAGTATATTTAATTCTTCTATGTCCTTTTAAGAAGGATAACATAATGCAAATGTTTTAAGTCTTTCCTGTTCCCCAATTGCACACTTCTCTAAAAGTAGAAAATACGTAAAATATAGAAAATATTATGGACTAAGTGCTAATCTATTTTTTGTCAATGACTTTGGCAGCAACACAGAAAACAGCTTTTGGGATATTGTGAACTCATCATATGACTCACCAAAGAAGCAAAGATGGAGCTATGTTAAGTCCCCAGACATCTGCTAAAGCAAGCTTTATTTCTACAGTTAGTGTTTATTTGGGGATTTAGAAAAAGAAGGCCCTCACAGTGAGCCTTGAGGCATGCATTCCATTTACAAGCAAAAGTCACACAGACTTAACCAAATAAAAATTCTCCTGGGTAAGCTTCACAGAAAGATAAAAAAGCAAGTCCAGTGGGAGAGCTGCATGTGTATATTAGGACTTGACAGTTTGACTGTTAAGCACAGGTGAGAGTTTTGGCCCAGGACCTAAAGCAAGGTTGCAGGTCACACGGGAGACCTGGGGATCTGGGCTCACTTGATTCATTTCCTGGTGATTCAGATTCTTTATTTGTAAACTGATATTATTAAGGCTGTGTGTGTGTGTATGTGTGTGTGTGTGTGCGTTTGTGTGTGTGTGCATGTGTGTGTGTGCGTGTGTATGTGTGTGTATGTGTGTGTATGTGTGCGTGCGTGTGTGTATGTGTGTGTATGTGTGTGCGTGTGTGTGTGCATGTGTGTGTATGTGTGTGTGCGTGTGTGCGTGTGTGTATGTGTGTGTGCGTGTGTGTGTGTGCGTGTGTGTGTGTGTGTGTGTGTGCTGCAGTTAATGTTCAGAGATGAGTTCTGAAATTCAGGGTGGAATTTTAGAACCTGAAACTTTAGGGCAAAATTTTCTATGTTTCATTCTTATCCACCTCACAGAGGTGGGTTCCCAGGGCAAAGACATCCCATAGACAGGCTGTTCCACGGGTCAAGTAGACCAAAGGCTGTGGACCTTGCCTGTCTACCACTAACGTGCACTAAAATACATGTGCACACATATGACCTTGTTATAGGAAAAACACATCCAATCTACCATCAAAAGCAAAAAAGGCATTCACAAATGGTGTTGCTTTAATTATCACTAATAAAGCATGATGTGTCTTACTCCTTAGCACTGATTCTCTACAACTTGTCATAACCCTGTTGTTGGGAATTGTTATTTTACTTCTTAAAGTGGGGGATGGGAGTGAAAGAAAGTGAAACCTGGCATAGCTCCATCCTTAGTCAGAGATTATAGGGAAGTCCAGTTTTCCTGGAACTCCTTCATAAAATCCTCAAGGTGGGTCTGATCAAGATCTTTTAAGTCATGCACTGCTCTCTATTCCTATTACTGTAGCCAGTAATGTGTAGTCCTCTGATTGGTCGGATTTGGGTCATGTGGTACCCACGATGCCAACTTCATAAAGCAGCCTAGCAGATTGAGGGGTTCTGGTGATTCTAAGTTAGAAGAGATACAATGGAAAGATGGAAATAAAGGCAGACAGCCCCTCTGCAAAAATAGATGTCTACTACACAGAAGATACAGTTTTCAAATTTATTTTACAGAAGAAACATCCTAGTAGATAACAGTGTGTGAGGATACTTTGATGTTAGTGTATGCTTTCTCAATTAGGAAACGAAATAGCTCAAGTTTAAAATAAAAACCAAAGTTTTGATTTCATTTGTCAGTCTCAATACTCTAATTTCTTATTTCTTCTTTAACCTCTTGCCTAACCAAATCTGCTAACAGTAGAAATTCTATGTGGGCAGGAATGTGTCTCCTTGTTTATTGCTTTATCCTTCACACAAAACATGTGGAAGATGCTCAGTAATACTTGTCGATTGAATGAATAAACAATGATTTTTCTACCTTCTATTTCTTTCTGCCCCATTTTACGCTACAGGTTAATCCTCCTAAGCAAGGCTCTCATCGTATTTTCTGCCCCAAAACCTACTAGTGTCTCAAAGAATATAGAATTGAGTGCAAGCTCAATAATATCATACCAAACCCTGAATACATGGATGCTATCTTTCTTTCCTGCCTCATCTCCCTTTGTTGCTTTCTCAGACCATACCACAATGAACTGCTCGCTGGTTCATATACAGACCTCCCACATTCCTGTCTATGCCTTTACTTTGTCTCACTACTACTCCTTTATTTCTACTTGCTAAGGTGCACGTCCTCTTTGAAACTGTCCTCAACAGGCCAGGCATGGGTGCTAATGCCTGTAATCCCAGTACTTTGGGAGGCCGAGGTGGGTGGATCACCTAAGGTTAGGAGTTCAAGACTAGCCTGGCGAACATGATGAAACACTGTCTCTACAAAAATACAAAAATTATCCAGGCATGGTGCATGCACTTGTAATACCAGCTACTCGAGAGGCTGAGGCAGGAGAATCGCTTGAACCTGGGAGGCGGAGGTTGCAATGAGCTGAGATTGCACCATTGCACTCCAGCCTGGGCAACAAGAGTGAAACATTGTCTCAAAAAAAAAATTTCCTTAATTTGCCCAATAGGATGTACATATGTCTTCTGCTGAGCTGCCACTTAAATCATATTCAGCCTTGTATTGTAGTTATTTGTATTCTAGAGGGATACAACTCAGGCTCTAGGTTTTACTGGTATTCCCCACAGTAGTAGGCATAGTGTCTTACACAAAGCACTCGCTAAACAGAGTTTGTTGAGTTGAAGTGAGATGACGTGTGGGGTCAGGCAGGTGTTACACAGCAGTAATTAGGACTACAGTATTAAAGGGAGTGAACTGCAGATGGCAAGAGACTCATGAGGGTCTTTTAAATGCTCTCGCTAATTATTCTTTGGTCTGAAAATAAAGAGGCCCCAAAGGTGACTATAATTTTGTGAGAGTGAGTGTTTTCTAGAAAAGTATTGTTCCATACAACTGTGCCAGTTTGGCTGAATCTCAATGACTTATTTTACATTATCTACCTAGTGAATTTCCATTATGTGAGCCTCATACCTGAGAAGAATTTGACTCAAAAGGAATTACATTTAGTAAAAATTTCTGAAAATGCAAATTAGAATTTCAAACCAGGGCAGTGTTTCTGTTTCCTGAGGTGAATATGGATGATTTAAAATTTCATCAAGGTGAATGTATTTTCCAGTGAGTTTTTAAGTGAATATAAGTTGAAAAGTCCAGAAATATTACGATTTCCTGACCCATGGAGGCATGATCTGACAGCTATTTGAGGGTTATATTTTGGGTCTTTGGGTACATTCAGATTCTAGAATGGAAACTGCATAGGAGGTGGTAAATGGGATAAAAAATTATAATCACTTCTTTTGGCTGAACTTCTCAGAAGTCCGTCTGAAATGCTTCCTATGGGCACGGTATATGAAAGCAATGCAGACTCTCTTGGGTGTGAAGAAGTGACCTGATCCTTCTCCATACCCAGCGTTTCAGACTTAGGTCCTTTACCAGTCACCTTGATTCTTTTCTCTGTTGCTTTCCCTCATCAGGTAGCGATGTTGATTTGTGCCGGATTCCTGATTGCCTGGATTCCTTATGCAGTGGTGTCTGTGTGGTCAGCTTTTGGAAGGCCAGACTCCATTCCCATACAGCTCTCTGTGGTGCCAACCCTGCTTGCAAAGTCTGCAGCGATGTACAATCCCATCATCTACCAAGTTATTGATTACAAATTTGCCTGTTGCCAAACTGGTGGTTTGAAAGCAACCAAGAAGAAGTCTCTCGAAGACTTCAGGTAAAATTTCAGAATCTTTAGGTGAATTATATTCTCTTTGTTTCAAAATCCCATGGAGGTCAAGCTACTCAGATATGCTGTTTTCTTAGGGCTAAAGCTCATTGCCTAGGAGTATTATAGGATGGACTTTATTTTGCTTATGAAAATTCCTGAAATTAGGTAATCAGCTATTAGAGTTTGTATGACATGGTTAGATAGTGAGAAGTGATTCTGTTTTTGATCCTGGAGCAACTAAGATACACAGAGATGTGTCAATTTGAGCAACAATCACTATTTATCCATGGCTTGTACTTTCCATATCCGGGAGCAAATCCATTTTCTTCCAAGAGTACTGTCTTACATGGCCTTGACCTCGCAACAGAACGATTCTCTTGTTTGACATATCACTACCACTAGCTAAGGGAATGAAAGTTGGGTGGGGAGAGGGAGATGGTATTTCTGCTCTGTGCCAGGTTTCTTTTATTTTATTCTCACAAGAGCCCTGGGTTATTCTTTTTCTTTGTCAGAATAAGAAATCGAGGTTCAAGTAAGGTTAAAGTTAAGTAAGCTGCCCATGTTTAAACAGCTAGAAAGTAACAGAGGAGGAATTCAAACTCAGGTCTACTGGGTTTCAAAATGCATGCTTTTTGATTGATACTGATTCTGCTACACAATGAAGAGAGTTTGAGAATCTAGCATTATTTTTCCTAACAGCCCAGAAGACTCAGGGTGAGTAAAAACTTGGGGGTGATTGGGGGTCTTCTGTGTTTACTCAGAGTCAGTATTAGCAGTAAAAAGTGTAACAAGCACCTGAATTCCTGAATTCCCGGTCTGAGGTGAAGGGTGTCAAGACGGCCCCAGGTTTCGGTGCTTTTTACTGTTATTTACTTGATTTCTAGATTTTTAAATACTTCTTTCCTTGAGTAAGTAAGGAACAGTGGAAAGAAGGTAGAACTAGCTATGAGAAGATGTGGGTTTTGTGTTGTTCTTTCAATGTGCCTGAGCAAGTGACAAATATTTTGGACTTTTAGGTTCCTCTCCATGGATCAAATGAAAAGATGACAAAAAGGCACAAATAAAAGGTAGCATTATCATTGTTGCTGTGGTACAGGGGAAGAGACACACAATTTGAAGATAGAAGACCAATATTTAAGGTTCAGCTGTTTATAATAGCTCTGTATTGTTGAGCAAATTAACTTCATAGAGCCTAGAATTGGAATAAATGAATAATAATACCCATCTCCTGAAGTTGTAGGAATTAAGCAAAATTGATGTGTGAAAAGATCTAAGGAACAATTGTTAGTATTGCTTTCATATTTTTAATGGTTAATGCCTTTGCTGTTGAATCGAACAGTTAAATCCAAATGCTAAAACACATCTCTTTCTGAAGTAATAACACTATGTCCTCATAAGCTGTTGATATTTTGTTACAAATGCAGATAGAGAGAATAATTTTAATAGACAATTGTGGGAGAAAGTAATGGGGCACTTCTTCATCTGAAGGAGACGGGAATTTGACAGGAATGACTGCAAGCAAATTTCACGTACCTCATAATTTTGCCTCTGACTGCCTCTGTGTTCTGCACATTCACTCCCAACTATGAGGAGCCCATAAATATTCGATTCTCAACAACGGGAAGAAGGAAATTTATGTGGGAGAAAGTGACTTAGGGCCACAGACCTTTGGGAAAATCAGTCAGGCAAGAGACAGCTCGGTTCACTGGTTCCTATTAGCTGTTTATATGTAATATAGCAATTGCTCTGCTGGAGGAGGACAGGGGCTGTTTCTCCTTTCTAGAGGGTCTGCTTTCGGGGAAAAAGTAGGCAGTAGAGCTGAAGCAGTGAGGAGCACTTAGGTGCTACAGGTTGAAGTCTCTTTGCAGAAGGAATGCTGAAGAGATGTTGAGTCCCAAATTTTGGAAAGGGCTGCTTCAGAGAAGAGCAGAAGGGAGGACGATACCACCAGAGGTTTTTTTTTTATCTTTACAAAGAAGACAAAATGAAACCTCATTTCTCTTTGTTATTAAGAAGCTATGCAAGTGAGTAATGTGCAGGTCTACAGAGCAAGGTTAAGTGATGTGAAGCTAGTTTAGAATTATTGCACAAACCAGAACAAGTGAATTAAACTGGATTAATAAATATCCTTGTTATTTTCTTTTATGAGTCCTGAAATGTTTTTGCTTATAAGGGGTCACCCTCTTGGGAAATATTTTGAAATCAAATAATAAAGCTAATGTATTAAATATGGGATTATGGAAACAAATTTTGGGTCATCTTAACAGTTCATTGAAAGTTAAAGTTGTTTTTTCCTCCTGAATTGAATCCCCTGAGATTTTGGTAGAAGTTGGTGAGCCAAAGGAAACAAATGTGGCCAAGAGCTCTTTCTAAAATGTTATTCTTCCCTACACCTGGGTATCCAGATGTAGTCTCCCATATGTTGTCAACAGCACTTCTCCACCCTGGCTGTGTCATAGAGACACCTGGGGAACTTTGAAAAATGACTGCTGCCTGGGCCTCACCTGCAGAGATTTGGCTTTGTCTGGATCGGCCCTGAGCTTCCGTTGTTTGATTGTTTACCTCTCCCAGATGATTCTCTTGCACATTTTTGAAAGCTAATGAACCAGAGGCTGAGGAAGGAAGACACTGGCAGTGCAGCTCAAGAAGTCCTAGGCCTCTGCCTACACAGAGACCAATGAGGTCACCTGTGGTCAGTGACAGAGGAAAAAGGCTGCAGATGCTAGGCCTATCTCAGATGGAGAAGAAATGTTCAAAAGGCACTGGGGATTCAAACATTTGATTAGGGGTGTGCAGTGAAGGATGGAGGCATTTACATTCCTGGTATTGTGTAAAGATAATGAGAGAGAACAAAGCCCCAAACTCTGGCATTGCTAACATAATGAAACCTCCCCTGACCACCTTGGCTTGTAATGCTGTCTTCATGAAGAACATTCCGTCAGTAGGTGAATCACAAGCCTAGTTGAGTGCAGGTAGGTGTGCAATTAATTTTGTTTTAGAAGACAGGAAACTCATTATGGCACAGGAAATGTACTGTAAACAAGTGGCTTATTTTTGGAAAGCTCTGCCCAAATAATTCCTTGACTTGGAATATTCCAAATTGAATTATTATTTTCTATCTATCTCTAATTCAAGATTTGTGCACGTAATCCGCATGGTGGTCAAGTTTGGCATATACGTATGCATGTATATGTATATATGTATTTATGTGTGTGTATATATTATGTAATACATATATAAATACATAGTATTATAGTTATATATGTAAATACATACTATTTATGTATTTTTATATATGTACAAATTAAATCGCATTTTCTTCTCCTATATCTAGACTGCACACTGTAACCACAGTCAGGAAGTCTTCTGCTGTGCTGGAGATTCATGAAGAGGTATGAAGATGGATACAGTATCACTATGGACACACATATTCACTTATTTGCCTCTTCATTGCTGTAAACATTTGATTGTGGCCACACTTTTGTCTTTATATTATATTTTTATACTTTGTACATTTTTCCTCAAGCCAGGGGTTGCTGGGAAATTCCAACGGCTAAATGGAAACTAGATTATAGGATACTAATTTAATGAATATTATCAGGATGAGCGTCCCTGGAACTTTCTTTTCTTGTACTTTAAAACCTATTGACATGCCAAACAGTACTGAGTGTGAGATAGTGAGAAAAATGTTGAGATGTTTTGTTTATTAGGGGGTTATTTATTTTTATTCCATCATTGTCATTATTATTTCTAATGTACGGTTAGAGAGGCAGTTTCTGGGCTTCCTTTAGATGGACTATCATGTATGACAATTCTGATGGCAGTGGTTCCACAAAAAAGTTCTCTGGGGAAATCAGTTTTGCCTTAAATCCCTAAATGGAAAACTCTCTTGTATCTCCAAATTTGAAGACAACAGTAATTTCCACTGATGATAATTTTACCCACGTGGGTTTTCTCATTAAGTTCTACTTACTAAAGTAGTGAATGTAACAGGGCATTATGAGTTGTAATTGCTTAAGAAGCAAATTTAGTGAAGATAGCTATTTGTAAGTGTTGTTTCTTCTCTTTGTTCTTTATTAGCTTGCTATTTATTTTGTTCATTTCTTTTTTTAAACAAACACCTTTGGAGGCAGATAAATAAAGAGATGTAGGTATGAATGAGATGGAGTGATTTCAAAGACAGACCCCTGCCCTTTAAAAGCGATTGAAAAGAGGAGGCACGTAGATACTGTGTCCAAATAGGTTTTCTACTAATTGTCTATTACCTTTGCTTCTGATCAGGTAAGCTGGGCCATCTACAATGCAGTTCTTTTAATTCAATGACTAGACAGGTGTTCGCTATGCTTCTCCATTCCATCTACCTTGCCTTCTGCTACAAACTTAAGCCTTGCTCATCAATAGTGATTCTGCCTTTCTGGTGATGGCCAGCAAGAACAATGAAAAGGGGAAGAGGGTGGCCTTTTTCATGCCACTGATAATCTCTCCACTCCTTCCATTTGAAGGTTTGTAGAGAATCATACCCTCCTCCAAGGATCAACCTCAGGACATGGCACCTTCAGTCCCTTTGTCTTTTCTTGGGAGTTCAGGGTGTGGGATGAGGAATGAGTTGATATGTGTCATTGGTTTAAGATAAATGCCAAATAGATGTTGGAAAATGTGCTATATGAGCACAACAACAAGAAAAAGCAACAACTCTGTTTGGGGCTTATGACTGCACACCAAAGTCTGGAGAAAAGAAGAGGAAGAATTGTGATTAGAATAGAAAGGCAAGGAACTTTTTAGCAGAAGTGCAAATTGCAGAGGTGTAAAAGCATGTGGCACTTCAGATGAAAGTAGACACCGCTGTAAAGCACAGTCAGACTGCCTGGGTTTGCACCCCTCCTCTGTGCCCTTCAGCAACTTTGAAACATGAGGATAATAACAATAGTATCACAGGGTCATTGTGAGACTTATGAGATAATACCCACATGAGTCATTTAGCACTATAGTATATAGTATCCACACAAGTCACTTTTCTGTGACAGAGAAGCATCCCTGTGTACTAACAACTGCTCTTATTATTATTAAGGTGAGTGGTGGTCAGAAGTGGAGCTGGGAATAGTAGTCTGGCAGGAGTCAAATCAGACCCCAAGGGCTTTGTTGTTTATGCTGTTATGTGGATTTTACCATGACGGTGATAGGGAGACCATTCATGATTTTTGGCTGGGGAAGAAAGACCAGTCTGGTGGCAGTGTGGAGGGTGGATTGACTGCACGAGAGTGGGGAATCAGGATTAGAGATTGGCAGACCAGCTGAGAGGCTTTATAAAAAAATTACAACATACAAGGACCTGAATTAAGAAATGGCAATAAAAATTAAGATGAAAATGTAGGTTTAAAATATTTTAAAAAGTGACAAAAAAGTGGTAGTTGATTACATGGAGGAATAAGAGTTGAGAATAACTTGGGGCCATCTGCTTAGGAAATAATTTAGATAATGGTGTCTACAGAGGGGAAAAATACAGGAGAGTGAGTGGGATGGGGGAGAGAGTGAATTATATTTAGAATACATTGAACATGGAGCATTTGAAACATAGGTAAAGATATTCAAAATAGGTAGTTAAAATTAATCTAAAGTCATACTCAGTGATGTGGGGATTATAGAGTTGCAGAGCGAAGCAGGTAGGATGAGAATGCTAAAAGAGAAATTGCTGGTTTGAAATTACCTGAGGAAGGTAAAGTGAAGGAGGTTTTTTTCCTTCCTCTTCTTTTGTGTTGGGGGATGATTGTGGACGTGGATGATGGATGGCAGTAGAGGTTAGAAAAGGAGAAAAGAACACTCAGGTTAGTGTAGATTTGTCTAGAAGGTGGAATTTAACATTAACATTGTACAAATGTCCATGAAGGTAGACAGTTTAACTGTTTAAAGGTAGATTCATTGAACTGTTTAACTAGAATGTGGTCTTCAACATGGCTTTATAAATGCATGTATAAGAAAAATTAGCATAGTGAAAAGGAAAAAAAAGAGTTTAAATTGTAGGAGCTTTGGAGAAGATTCTAGAGTTAATTTCTGCTATCAATTTGAAAAATATGATTGAAGTCCTCCATGCTTTGGATCTGCCTTGTTTTGGGTAACATTCTGAGAGCTGGGAGGCACCAGAGTTGATAGATGTGGTCCTTGGGGCAGAATGGAGGAAGAAAAAGCAAGGAGTCATTGAAGGTTGGCTCATGTACACCAGACTGTCGGTGGACAATTTCCTCAGTGGGTTTTGCTTTTCCAGTGGCTTCCAACAATTTGAGAAAACTGTACAGTCCTCAAACGCTTCTACAAATTTAATTTTAGCTTAAAAAGATACATTACATTTTATGTCTGGGGGGTTAGGAGAAAGACTGCAGAATCTTTGAGCTTGAAGCTATGCCTGTTTTCCTTTGGGTTCTCATAAATGGCCCAGTGCCTGATACATAAAGAACACTTGGAAAGCTAATGGTTGAAATCAAACAAGTATGGCTTGGGGGCGATATGGAAACATAAGCTAGAGTATTGAATGAAGAATGTAAAATCCTAGATCCCTGGACTTTCATTTAAACATGGCCTATCTTGTTAACAAATCAATGAGTAAATAAATCTGTAAAATGGAGATTGAGAGTAGAAATGCCCTACTAACTTGAAAAGTTGGATTTCAAGAATCATAATAAAATCTAAATATATTTTCATTTTTTCCAAGTAGAATGAAGCAATAAGAGTGTATTTCACAGTAAAATCCAAGTTTTTGACTTTTAGAAATGCAATTGTCTCAAGAATCAAGCATTATGCTTATTTAGAAGTGAAATGGTAACTACAAAAATCCGTCTCATTTAATTTCCCACCAATGCTTCTGATGACCTTTAGCAACATGAGCCACAAATACACAAATGGAAATGGTTCCTCCATTAAGTTAGTGCAAATGAGGGAGAAAAGACAAAGGAAAGGAGAGGGAGAGAGGAAGAGTCAGAACAGCTGATGAGCAGGCTGTTGCAGGGATCGATGATGCCAGCATAATGAAATGTCTTAAAGGCTGCCCAAACGTCAGAGAACATTATATATAGAATGAAGATAGATGTCATTAAAGCAAAGAGGTTAGCAGAAATAGCATCAATCTTTGATTCAATAACTGATTTTGTAGAGAGGGAGCCAGGCCTCATTGTCCAGGAGGTCATAGGGTTGACCATTCTGTTAAAATAGGCCAAAAGGCAAGAAATACAAGACCCACAGGAAAATTGCTAAGCAAACACATTCAAGGGCATGCCCTCAGTCAGTATAGACTTCGCTCAAAGCCTCATGCTATTAGTGGAGGCCATATTGCAAAATCCCTGGTCACCACTGTGACCCTCAGTGATTTTTAAATGATTGAATCTTCAACATATTTGTCCATCAGATCATGGGACTACATGGGATATATTCTAAAAATGCTTTAATAAATTTGAATCAAAACACTGTCATTTAAACTACTTTTCTCAATTACTTTGAACCTGCTTTCCTTAGCCTGACAAGTATACCCTCACATGCACCATGAAGTCTGGATTAGGCTGACAAATATTACTTAAAACACATGTGTGATAAAAAGTTCTACCAAGTATACATGTGCTTTGTTGGCTTTGTTTTATTTTGGTTTAACATTGGTGAAATGTATATAGGTAAATACTGCATTCACTCATTCAGCTTTGCATTGAGGCACTTTTAAGCACCTGCAGTAAACACTGTCCTGAATGTTTGGAAGATACAAAAGAAGAAGACAATGTGTTTTTAGTTCCTTAGGGAGTTGAGGGTTTTGGAAAGTTTTGACCTTTCTATATATTGTAAATACCTTTAAGTGTAATAGTTTTTAGACGAAGAACTATGGGTTTACTTTGATGAGAGAAACTGCGAAATATCAGGACAGGTCCTGGGAATTGATTTGCATATATGCCTCTGTTCCCCAGATGAGGAGAGAAATACGGGGCTTTTGCAAGGTCTTCTAGAGAAGAATTCAATCATTGCCAGGGCCAATGCTCTCCTGTTATCTTTGTATGTTTGAATGTTTGGTTTGAGCAAACGAAAATTTCTTGAGTAGTTTTCTTCCTCAGGATACAGCAAAATGGAGCTGGCCAGGTGATTTGGGGCTGTGTGGATTACAACTTTTCCTTCCAAACAATACCTAGAACGTTGGAGACACAGATAGAAGTTCAGAGAACAGTTTCAGAATTAGCAGACTTGATCTCAAACTCAGATGCCGTCATTTACCAGCTGTGTAGGCAAATTACTTGATCTCTCAGTGTCCTTGGTTGTCCTCATTGTGGAATAGGGACAGTCTCACCTCAGTAGGATTTGTTGTGATTCATGTGTAGTCTGTAAGATTCTGAGGAAAGTTCTGGTCTATTGAAAGTATAAAATAAAAGGAAACTATTGTTGTCATCACTATTAGAGGAAATAGGTGATTATTCCAAGTGGGTTTTGTAGTGATAGGAATGAATCCTGTTCTTGAGGAGGTAGGAGGACATTTCTCAATATGTCTGGTCACGGTAGATCTGGGAGATGTTCAAGCTTTTCGTAAAGTGAGAAACACACTAAGATTCCATGGAAATAGCCACTAGTAGCTCTGCCACAGGAAACTTCTAGTGTTAGGAACTAATGCTATGAAAAACATTTGACCTTGTAAGCCATGATTGGAGGTGGCACATAGTGTATGAGACCAAGGAGGACAGAGATTTACTCCATTCCAGTGGGAGTCATCCTGGAGACATCCTGGAGATGGAGAAGGGGATCAGAGCACCTTGCCTATGAAAGGGTCGAGATAATCAGCCTTCTAGTAGACAGTTTACTGGAATGGGAGCACAATTTCTCACTATAGATCTTTTCAGGAATACAGGCAGAAACATAAATTCTAGTTGAGGTTCATGCCAGTTACAGATATTCTGTTATCAAGACCTCTAGTTACTGGCTGGAAAGCATTTAAAACAGAGAAGATTCCATTTTGAAGGCTTATCTTGGAGTTTAAACTCCTTAATTTCTGTGTATGATGTTATTGTATATAGGGTGGTTTAAATCCTTGTTACCCAAAATGTAGTCTGCAGACCCAGAGCCTGGGTGTCTCCTGAGAGACAGGAGATTAGAAAAAACAAAAACAGAAAAAACAAAAACAAAAAAACCAACTTCAGCCCCATGCCTGACCTACTGAATCAGAATCTGTAATTTAACAAGGTGACTTTCATGCCCATTGAGTTTGATTAAGTCAATGATTCTGTTAAGACTAATATGTTTTTAAGTCTTTTCCCATTGGATGTGGTCACAGTCAGAAGTGTCCTGAGAAATAGTACTCTAATCAATGAGTGGGACTTGGAGTCTCAAAAGTGTCCCTGGATACTGGGGCTCTGTGAGCAGTACACTCTCTAAGGTATGTTTCACCCTCTGGACAAAGGGAGATGATGGCATCAGCTATTTTGGGGGGAGAATTCTGAGATGACAGCCTTCAGTGGTACACTAGGGACAAAGGCCCATTCACCTCTTCAAGAAATCAGGGAAGGGAAAAATGAAGATGTTGGGTGATTCAGCATTTCTTCACATACAACTATGTTAGGATGGACTACCTAGAGCTAATTTATTCAGAAAGAAGGATACTTTCCTTAATACAAAGAGTTACACTTATCTAAGTATTTTCTATTTTGAGAGTGGCATTCATTTCCAATAGCTGCCTGACCCACATATATACACACCCAAATGAATAAAATAAACAAAATATAATTAGAGGGGAAAAAAGCACCTAATCCATGTAAAAAAAAAACAGCTAAATTTGTCAGCAAGCATGTGGGATATATTCAGACTGCTCAAAATAGACCTGAAGCTGCACATTTTGACA